CAAATATGAATATGTAGATCTTAAATTCTTTCTGCTTTACTCTGGCCATTTCTGACAGGGAGTAACCAGATTTGCCTACCTTATAACAGGGTTCATAAATATTTGTAGCTCCATCAATGTGGTACCTTGGAGCACCTCAAAATCTTTATCATATATATTGTCTCTAATTCCATGTTAGCTGGTGCAGCATCATTTCCATTTTTCAGAAGAAGAGCTGAGGCACAGAGAAAGTAAAGGTGCATAGTTTAAGAAGCACAAGAGGAACAGTAGTGTAAAATCTATAGGTAAGAAAGTGGTGAATCCACCCCTCATTTTATAGAGTCATGCAACATTCTTCAGATTCACCATGTAGGTCTCACAAATGAGCTGATGACATCACTTAGAGCCTCCAGGCCTGAATATTAATTATTCAGGAGAACTGGGTGGATTCTATAGTTGAAGATACCCTGAAAATAATGTACACAGCCATTAGCTTACCCCATATTTTACTGGCAACTCAAACATGAGGCCGGTCTCATGTTTTTCACCTTAAATCTATTTGCTGCTTCTTAAATTAAAGCCAGCAATGAGCAGCAACCAGGATGGACAGAAAAATATTTACACATGATGACAGTCTGTGCATGTTATAGGGAATACTTTAAAAAGACATAAAAAGAAACACTAAATCACAAAGAGCTCACAAAAGGAAATCAAGCCTCTCTACAGGCCTCGAAAATATAAGACAAAAACCCATCAGTCATTGAAATATGTGCCCCCTAGGCCCATCATGCACTATGCAGGGGTGGCCAATCAGTTAGAGATGAAGAGACAAAATAGCTGGAGATAGAGTGCAAAGAGCCATGCATTATATATTTATTTTTATATCTATATAGATATATATGGCTAGATATATATAGTACACAAAATGCAATGATAAAAATAACATTACAGGACATTTTCGACAAAAACCAATAATAAAATCTCTAGTGACTTAAATAATTCACAGCCGCTCCATAGATCGTCAGAGAACTTGACAAGGAACAAACATCAAATTGACAAAAGAAACTTTAAAAATACAGTAATATTCTCACACTAAAAATAAGCATCCCCACCATGTATTTTAAATTTAACACTGCTACCCTATTATGTCCGGTGTGATTTTTAAAATTAAACTGAATTGAGGACTAAATTAGCACAATTTGAAGCACCTGTTTCACTCCAGCTTGTTGATCAATGGTACGGTTTTCTCATTTTTTTTAACTAATGAAGATTATGGCTTTTTTATAGTTCTAAAAGTTCAGGTTCATCCAAACTGCAAATTTGACAGGCTCCAAAATAATAATGGAGAGATTCATATCTCAGAATAATTGCTTCAGCCTGGCAAACAATAGTCTTTGAATTTTCTTCAAAGAAACACAGTGTAAACCAGGTACATGTTGATTCTTCTTTTGCCCCGGAATTTAAATATGACATCTGTGTTGGCTGCCTTATTTTGCATCCACAAAGACTTTGGGTTCGAGTGGAGGGCTGGGGGTGCCTGGCTCTGGGGTGGGGTGAGGCATTGGGTTAGACTGGAGGGTGGAGTGCTGAAGCACCTTAAACTCAATCTCCCTCCTCTGCCCCAGAGCCAGGCACCCCCAGTCCCAATCCAATGCCCTCTCCCTCCCACAGAGCCAGGAATCCCCAGACTGCCTGCTCTAACTCAATGCACCCACCCCTCCCCCAGAGTCACGTACTCTCAGCCTCCCTGCTCTAACTGAATCCCCTTGCCCTCCCCCAGCATCAGGCACCCCCCATCTCCCACCCATTCTAACGCAATGCCTGGGTGTCACCGAAGTCGCTGCCACCACAGCCACATGCTTCTCCTTCCAGGTGCTGTGCAGAGCAGCCATGAGCAGTCTGCGTGCATTCCCCAAACTAGCAATAGCTGAATTTCTTTGAGCAAAGAGCTGCATGCAGCTCTAGAGCCATGGGAAGGCCACTCCTGCACTAATGCTTCACACCAGGTGGAGGATGCTGGACAAGGGGGGGCTCTGAGACTGTGGGGCCTACTTTCATTCCTCCTTGGTTTCACACATCCAGGCAGAGTTCCTCTGGGCGGTGTCCATTGGCTCCATTGACAGTTTTGAGGAACAGTGGGCGCTGTCCGGGGTTCTCTGCTCGGTGTCCCCATCTGGTTCCCTTGTTATAAACCTTTAGCCTGCACTCCTTGACCCTGTTTTTCATTAGTTGTCCCAAGGAATCGGTTGATCCCCAGGTCCAGCTGTCCCTCCCACAAGGCTGGGAGGAAAGCTCCCAAAAGGATATCAAGCCCCTCCATAGGCTTCCAAAATACAAGACAAAAACACATAAGCCATTGAACTATATCGGCCACAGACCCATCATGCACTAATGCTTCACCTTAACCCCAGGGCAAATGCAGGCTCAGGTCCAGGAGCCAGCCAGGAACAAGTGCTCACTCCCCTGGGCCTGCCCGCACTGAGCTGTCCATGGTGCTGCAATTTTCTATAATCAGCCAAGAGTTCAGTGGTGCCAAGCTGATCAGCACCAGCCAGGGATCTGGACCATCGGCATCAATAAAGCTCTGTCACCCGGGTTAGTGAGTTGGCTTCATCTAACTGAGGCAGATTTTCCATAGATCTGTGATTTCTAGTGTGAGCTTCTGAGACCACATGACATGGAACCTCATGCACCAATTACAGCTGGATCCTCTCGTTTAGAAACACATCCAGTCTAGATTTCAAGGGGGTAATTGATATTGAATCCACCATGTCTCTTGGCCTGTTCCCCTGCTTGTGGTTGAAAATGTGCTGAGATTTACACCATTTGAAGATCAGGCCCTTTGGCTCCAATGGAGCTGTGCTGATTTACACCAGCTGGGGATCTGGCCAATGACTCCAATTGAAAGACCTCCATGTACACAGGCAGAGGACCTGGTCTAATGGATAGTGCCTATGTTATGGTTATACCATTGAGCATGTCTGTCCATGTGCAACATCACAAGAGAGCAGGGGCAAGACCATTTTCTCTTCCCTAGCATGGCCAGATTACTAGAGAGGGGCAAGTGGTTGCTGCTAGCACAATGTCCAAAGGAACCAGCCTTCACTGATGCTTCTCCTTTACCTCAGAGCCAATGTAGGCTCAGGCCCAGCAGCCAATCAGGAGCACCTGCTCACTCCCTCAGTTCTGCCAATACTTAGCTGTCCATGGTGCTGAAGTTTCTGTTCACCAGCAGGAGTTCATTGGCACTACACTGATTTACACCAAGTGAGGTTCTAGGAAACCAGTGACTTCAATGATGCTATGTCAAGTGACATGGACTTTCTGAAGATTCCTGATTTCTATTAGAACCTTCTGAGAACACATGATATGGAATTGAGTAATTACAGCTGGCACATTTATTTTAGAAACCCTTCCAGTCCTGAAGGGAAGGGGTAAATGGTATTAAATCCACTAAGGCTCTTTGCCTGTTCCCCCATTTTGGTTGAGTACGTGCTCAGCCATTGAGACATGGCCCTTTGGCTAAAATGGAGCTGTGAGGATTTACATCGGATGGGGATCTGGTCAAGGACTCCAATGAAGAGACCTCTATGCACACAGGCAAAGGACCTCGGCTAATGGGCAGGGCTGATGTGATACTTACATCATTGAGCTTTTCTATCCATGTCCGCCAGACCTAGCACAGTTTGTGCATGCTGTGAGTATTCTCAGTGGGCACAAGCTGATGACTGAAACATGTCTAAGGAGGGCCTGATGGCTTGTGGGACATCACTGCACGCCAGGGGAGAATCCATAGTCACTTTCTGCTGGTTGACAAAAGCTCCTGGTAAGTGAAGGAAGAGAATTGCTATGTGAAATGCCCAGTTAGTGTTATCAGTAGGTCATGTCACAAGATGAGATCCAGCAAGGATCCTGTACAGGACAGATCCCAGTACTGAAGGGTGAAGGAAGAGAATTTTCCCCTCTTCCGTTGAGTTATCTTTTCCGTGGAAAGTATTGGCTTTCCAACAACTTATCAAACTCACCTTCTGCCATGAAAAGAAATGAATGGGATGCCATGAATCCCTAAGCTCATATTAGAGAAATCTGACACAACTTGCATCATTTAATAACAATAGGAGGAAAGCGTGGGCCAAATTAATCCTCAGGGCATGAGTTACCCACATGGTGGCTTTGGTTTCCTGAGCTCATTAATGAAGTGTTGGGTCTCTCTGAGCTCAGGTATTCCCAGGTGCTTCAGGAACAATGTTCCATAGATCACAGATCTCAGTATAAAACTTCCTGAATGCGCCACACTAGCAGCATCTGTTGATGTCAAAACTGCACCACGTCTGTCTCCTCTCATCCGGTACGTGCTGTTGTCTTGCATACAAGCCACACACACAGAGACAAAAGGGTGATAAGCAGGTATTGAATTCTAGCTCCATAGCACTAAATACCTGAGTCAGAATGCAACCCATCCAACTAAAGAAAAAACCTCAGAGTTTGGAAAAAACGACCATTACAAAGTCACTAAAAGAACTCCTTTCTCTGGGCATCCCTTAAGACTAAAGAACTTGCCATTTTTAAGTGTCAAAAACAGTAATGAGCATAGCACACAAGCTTCACCCCAAACTGACATGCTGAGCCACAGACCTCCCCTTGCCTAAAGAGGGCAGAGAGATTAACACACATTAATCTCACCCCTTTGAGCTAAACTATATTCTCGTCTGACTGAGATGGTTTCACCCTGTTTCTCTTACAAGTTCACAAATCAATGTTTGCTGCTCGGATTAGTGAACAACAGTATTCGTGTGAGTGGTACGGTTAATCTTCGTGTCCTTGTATTTGTACAGTTGCGCGCATTGTATGGAACACCTGGAATGATCAGCTGTGAACTTAGACTCTTTAGACTAAGTCCTTCTTTCAAGCTATACTGGTACCCATATTTCATCACTTACTTCGGCAGAGAGAACAGACAGGTATTCAGAGCCATCCACCTCCCCACATCCCTGCAATTGCCTCATTTCTGCTCAGATAAGATGGAAGAGGGAAATCACTCGGAGGTGACTGAGTTCATTCTCTCAGGACTGACAAATCGTCCGGAGCTGCAGGTACCCCTGTTTGTGTTGTTCCTACTGGTTTTTGTTATCACCCTGATGGGGAATGGGGGGATGATCTTGTTAATCAAGATAGACCCCAGACTCCACACCCCCATGTACTTTTTCCTTGGAAATTTGTCTTTCTGTGATTTCTGCTATTCCTCAACAATTGCTCCTACAATGTTGCAGAATTTCTTAGCTGAGCAGAAGAGCATTTCTCGCACTGCCTGTGCCGTGCAAATGTATTTATATTTCTTTTTTCAAGATATTGAGTGTCTCTTGCTGGCTGTGATGGCGTATGATCGTTATGTGGCCATCTGTAACCCGCTGCTCTATACAGTCACCATGTCCAGGTGGCATTGTAACCTGCTGGTAGCTGGGGTGTGTGGGGTGGCATTGGCAGATGCAACAACAGGCACATACTATTTATTCCAGCTCTCATTCTGCCGCTCCAATGTCATCAATCATTTCTTTTGTGATACCCCCCCACTGCTGGCACTTTCCTGCTCTGACACCCGCATCAATGAGATTTTGATGTTTGCCTTTGCATGCTTCATTATAGTGAGCAGTGCTTTGACTGTCCTCCTGTCCTACGTCTATATAATGTCAACCATCCTGAGGATCCGCTCTGCCGAGGGACGGCGCAAAGCCTTCTCCACCTGTGCTTCCCACTTGACTGCAGTGGTCATGTTTTATGGCACCCTCCTCTTTATGTATTTCCGACCCACATCAAACTATTCCATGGACACTGACAAAATAGCCTCAGTGTTTTACACGCTGGTGATCCCCTTGTTGAACCCCCTCATCTATAGCCTCAGGAACACGGAGGTGAAAGGTGCCCTGAGGAAAGCCAAGAATAAACTCTTGACCCATTCTTGAATCTTTTCACCTGAGTCCATACTTTTCATGGCATTGGAGTTGGTTTTATGATGTAGTTGCAAAAGTATAAAATGTGTTATTGTTTATAGTTGAACCAAAGCGAATTTTGCTTCTTTCTGACACTCTGTGGTCCTTTATGTGCTCTGTGAGGATGTTGTAGAGATTGTAACTTGGTTTGTGTCCATTTCCAAGGTGGAGAAAGGTGATTTCTATCACAATGAGGTTTATTGTATCCTAAGGGCACAGCAAAACAACTGGGAGCAAGAGTAACACTCCCCAAGAGAGAGCATGGTGTGGGTGCCAATTCTGTGGCAATCTCCACAGAACAAAATAGCATGGAAACTGGGAGTTTTCTCTACAACATCACTTGATGAGACAACACTTTACTTTGAACTCACTTAGGCTCTCAAGTTAGGTATTGCTGACATTTTACCTTTTATTTCTTTGTAACCAATTTGGATCTTTACGTCTCCTTACTAGTATTCACTAAAAATCTTTCTTTCTGTAGTCAATATGTGTGTTGGATTTTTTCATCAAAGCCATTGTGTTTTGATATCAAAATATTTAGGAACCTCTACCTGGGACCAGGATTTGCAACTTGTCTGTCTATTTATTGACATACTATGACACATACCCTGGTGTTGTCCAGGATGGTGCTGGACAGTACCAGGCACACATTCTATTGGGCATCATTAGGCCCTGTGACCTACAGGTAGGTGCTCTTTGTTATTGTATTGAAAGGCAACATATGATACCCTGGTACCTGAACCCACCGAAGGTAGAGATCAAAGCCTTAGCTGTGAGTTATTTTCATAGCCCAGGTGTCCTCCCCAAGGTGCTAGCAGACATGTTAGCAGATAAGAAAGCCATCTCCTCCTCTATCTGTGTGACAGAGCAGCCTTTACCTTTCTGGAGGGAGATTCCAAAGAGGATGGAGGGAGGCTATTCTCAGTATTGGAGATGGCAAAACAAGGAGCAATGGTCTCAACTTACAGTGGGGGAAGCGTAGGTTGGATATTAGGAAAAATTCTTTCTCTGGAGGGTGGTGAAGCACTGGAATGTGTTCTTAGGGAGAGGGTAGAATCTCCATCCCTAGAGGTTTTTATGTCCTGGCTTGACAAAGCCATGGCTGGGATGATTGAGTTGTGATTGGTCCTGTTTGGACAGGTGGTTGGACTCGACTCTTGAGGTCTCTTCCAGCCCTAGGATTCTATGATTCTGTGACTCCACTCTGGTTTCTGAGCACATTAGTGCTGGTGTAGTGACTGCTGTCTCTCTGTCCTTTCAGAGGTAGTGAGGAGAGATGGAGAGGGGACATCAGGGAATCCATTTCTTTCTTGTATAGTCCGGTACCCCTTTTGAGACATATTACCAGCTGGTTACCAGGAGACGAAATGTCTATGTGAAAAGATGTTTTTTGGCTCCTTTTCCTCCTATTTTTGACCTTCCTTGATTTCCCTTCCTCCTTGATGATGCTGTTTACTTCTTTGATACAGAATTCACCACAGCATATATTGCTTGGTTTCAGACAGAGCTGTTTGCCCACATTTGTTTGTAAGATGAGTTAATAACAGCATGCAGTGTCCCTTTCCAACCTCACATACCATATTGCCACACACAATTTTTCAGGATGATACCAATACACTAATTATGAGTTTTCAGATGATACATTCACAGAGGGATTTTTAAAAGACCCCCAAAAAGTGACAAAGACTTCACACAAAGAAATCAAGCTCCTCCACAGGTTTTTTCCTACTGAAATACAAGACAAAAACACATCAGCCATTGAAATATATAACACATACAATGTGAGAGGACTGCTGCCTGTGTAGCACACCAAAAACTTCAAGCCACACCCATAACCTGCTCTAGGCAGCACAATTATAACCAGTTTGTGGGAACAGTTCCTCGATTGCACCACAACACCCTTTGAATTGTATGGGAATGTGAAGGTATCTCATCACCATGAATCTCATTTCTCTCACCCTTCCCATGTCCAAAGACACACACTGCAATGGCACATGGCATGTTTAATCTGCCTCTTAGATGGCACATCCTCTGGTGATGCAGCTATGGAGTGGGCCAGGCGGGAATGAATCTGGATTAGAGTCTTGTTGAATCCAGGCCTCATCTCTATGAGGTCTAGATCTAACTCTTCATCCAAGACCTTCCACGGATGTCTAAACAGGGGTCAAACAGCTGATCCAGGGCTCTTCGATCAGTGACATTTCCTAAATTTGATGTCCCATCTGCCCTGGTTCTGTAAGGGAAGAACACAGACCTTCAGCAAGGGGAGGTGTTTAAACAAGTAACTATTCCCCTCTCCAAACCCTCACTGGCATTTCTAAGGAGTAAAGAAGGTTTCAGTGAAGGCAGACCTCATGTGCGACATCCCTAGAGAGCAGGGGTAAGACCATTTTCTCTTCCCTAGCATGGCCAGATTACTAGAGAGGGACAAGTAGTTGTTGCTAGCACAATGTCCAAAGAACTCAGCCTTCACTGATGCTTCTCCTTTACCTCAGAGCCAATATAAGTTCAGGCCCAGCAGCCAACCAGGAGCACCTGCTCACTCCCCTAGTTATGCCAGAACTGAGCTGTCCATGGTGCTGAAGCTCTTTTCACCAGCTGGGAGTACAGTGGTACTACAATGATTTACACGAGGCTAGTTTCTAGAAGACCACTGACTTCAATGATGTCAAGTTACACGGCTGGTCTGAAGATTCCTGATTTCTATTAGGACCTTCTGAGAGCACAAGACATGGACTCATGTAATTACAGCTGGCACATCTATTTTAGAAACCCTTCCAATCTTGAAGTGAAGGGGTAATTGGTATGAAATCCACCATGTCTCTTGGCCTCTTCCCCCACCCTTGGTTGAAAACGTGTTCAGCCATTGAAGACCTGGCCCTTTGGCTAAAATAGAGGTGTGCGGATTTACACTGCTTGGGAATCTGGTCAAGGACTCCAATGAAGAGAGCTCCATGAACACAGGCAGGGAACATGGTCTAATGGGCAGTGCTCCTGTGATGGTTACATCATGGAGCATTTCTGTCCACGTCTGCCAGACCTAGCACAGTTTACGCATGCTGTGAGCATCTTCATTGGTCTAACGACTGAGACAGATCTAAGGAGGGCCTGTCGGCTTGTGGGACATCAGTGCAAGCCGGAGAGAATCCACATTCACTTTCTTCTGGCTGAACAAGGGCTGCTGGTAAGTAAAGGAAGAGAATTGCTATGTGAAATGCCCAGGAGCAGAAGTGTTATCAGCAGTCCATCTCACAAGATGAGATCCAACAAGGCTCCTTTACAGGTCAGATCCCAGCACTGAAGGCTGCAGGAAGAGAATTTTCCCCTCTTCCGTGGAGTTATATTTGCCATAGAAAGTATTAGCTTTCCACTAACTTATCAGACTCACATCCTGCCTAAGCCATGGCTCTGCAACTCCAGTAATGTTCCAAGGCAGTTCAGCCTGAGGAGAGGCCATCATGCAGCAAAGGGCATGCAGTCTGGGAGCCAGGCCCAACCCAGAGAATGGGGGATATGGTATCACAGGGACTCTTCTAGTATTTCTGAGCTGAACAAGTAAGTTTGGTCTCCACAAACAACAAAACACTTTTACTTAGCACCCTTCTTGAAAAGAAATGAGTGGGATGTCATAAATCCCTAACCTCATATTAGAGAAATCGGACACAACTGGCATCATTTAATAACAACAGGAGGAAAGTATGGCCAAATTAATCCCCATAGCATGAGTTACCTCAGTGGTGGCTTTGGTTCCCTGAGCTCATTAATGGGATGTTATGTCTTTCTCCACTCAGATATTCCCAGGTGTTTCAGGAATAATGTTCCATGGATCACAGATCTCAGTATAAAACTTCCTGGATGCATCAAACTGTCAGCGTCTGTTGATATCGAAACTCTACCACGTCTGCCTCCTCCCAGCAGGGATGTGCTGTTCTCCTGCATACGAGCCGCACGCACATAGAGACACCATGGCGATCAGCAGGTATTCACTTGAAGATCCCATTTGCTAAATAGAAGCCCTCAAACTAAAGGAAAAACTTTAGAGTGTGGAAAAATGACAATTACAAAGTCATAGAAGGAAACGTTTTCTCTGGGCCAAAAACAGTAATGAGCACAGCACACAAGTTTTACCCCAAACTGACATGCTGAGCCACAGAGCTAGAGAGGGCAGAGAGATTGACACACATTAATCTTGCCCCTTTGAGATAAACTATAATCTCATCTGACTGAGATGGTTTCTCCTACAGTGGAGTCATAAATCACTGATAACTGCTTGGATTAGTAAACAAGTGTTCGTGTGAGTGGTACGGTTAACCTGCATGTCCTTGTATTTGTTCACTTGCACGCATTGTATGGAACATCTGGAATGATCAGCAGGGAATGTCTGTCTCTTTACACTAAGCCCTTCTTTCACGTTATACTGGTACCCGTATTTCATCACTTACTTCGGCAGAGAGAACAGACAGGTATACAGAGCCATCCACCTCCCCACATCCCTGTAGCTGCCGGATATCAGCTCAGAGGAGATGGAAGAGGGAAATCACTCGGAGGTGACTGAGTTTATTCTCTCAGGACTGACAGATCGTCCAGAGCTGCAGGTCCCCCTGTTTGTGTTGTTCCTACTGGTTTTTATCATCACCCTGGTGGGAAATGGGGGGATGATCTTATTAATCAAGATAGACCCCCGACTCCACACCCCCATGTACTTTTTCCTTGGAAATTTGTCTTTCTGTGATTTCTGCTATTCCTCAACAATCGCTCCCACATTGCTACAGAATTTCTTAGCTGAGCGGAAAAGCATTTCTCGCACTTCCTGTGCTGTGCAAATGTGTTTATATTTCCTTTTTCAAGATATTGAGTGTCTCTTGCTGGCTGTGATGGCATATGACCGTTATGTGGCCATCTGTAACCCGCTGCTCTATACAGTCACCATGTCCAGGGGGCTTTGTAACTTGCTGGTGGCTGGGATGTATGGG